GTTGAATATGTTAGGAATTGTGAAACCTTAGCCACGGATCTGGCGGGTACGGAGTTTGTAGAAGAAAAAAAAGAGTCAGAGTACTCAAACAAGAACACCATCAAAACATTAGACTACGTCACAATAATAGTTGTGATTGTTTCACTTACTTGTGATTGTTTCACTTATATATGTAGAAGAACGAGTTACAAGATGCAATAGAGTGACCTAATACCTAGGTTACAATTTTTTTCTTTTGTTTTTGTTTTTGTTATTTTGTTTTTTTGCTTTTTTTTTCTCGATAAACTATCAATAAGTTCTAATAGTTTGACTTAATTCCCATAAAGTTCTATATTAAAAATAAGTCCTAGTAAAATATTCACTAAAATAATTTTTGTGATGATTTTGCATGTTACTAAAAAACTGACAGTTAGTGATTTTTTTTTTGTCACGATTTTTATAAATTGTCGCTACAACATACAATTAGTAATATTTTTCTATGACAATTTTCAAACTGTCACTGAACGTTAAGAATTAGTGACTTTTTTGTAATAATTTTTTAAACTGTCGGTAAACTTATAATTAGTAATATTTTTTGTGACAAAATTTTCAGACTATTGCTGAAAAATAACAAGTAGTGATTTTTTATTAGTGTTTGATGAAAATGTCATTAATTATTATAAGACCTAATTGAACAATGAGTTTACGACCTACACATAAATCTTTTTTCTTTTTTTTTTAATTTTATTTGGAGAGGAGGAGAGATGGAGAAGGGGTCCTAGGACTCAATCTCGAGTTGATCAGCATGCTTGACCAAAGGTTAAGTGTTTCTATCACTGCGCCACTCGTATATTAGAACTTACAAAATATGAGAAAAATACTAAACTAGCCTTAGGCTGTGTTGGATTATGAATTTGAATAAAAATTTAAAAGAAAAAGGGAAATGTGAGTGAAAAATAAATAAAATATAATTACATTTTACTCACATTTTCATTTTCTCTTTTAAATTTCTATTCAAATTCATAATCCAAACACAATCTTTACTGTGAGAGACACATGACTCGATGTACTATTCTATCGAATAGAAACAACTCTATAACTTCAATTTTTAATTTTCATTTTCATTTCTATTTTGTTTTATGAGGAATGAAAGCAATGTCTGAACAGAAACCAGCTGAACTAAAGTTTAGCTATAAATAAACAAACATACAGTGCACGGGTTACATAACAATAGATATAAATAAACACACCTTTTTGCCTTTGCTATTCCCAACCTGTGACAAAAATAAGAACATATAAACCTCTTTTGCATCTAAACAAGGAGAATAAAGGAAGTCTAGATGACAATATAGAGTTAAAGCAAACCTCTGGTTAAGTTAGAGTTGTAAACGAACCGAATTTTTTATGAACATTTAGCTCAATTAGTTTAAATTTGTTTAAGCTGACTCATTTGTTTGTTAAATGAATGTGTTGGAGCCAAATTTTTAGTCTTGTTTACTAATCAAACCAAGCTCAAGTAGACCGAAGCTCTCTTTTGAATAGATTCTTCATGAAGATAAGGATAATATAAATTACTATTTGATTGATGAAACTTATCAATAATATGATCATATATTCATATTTTGCTCATAATCTTTCTCCTTCTTCTTCTTTTCTCTTAATATGATAATTTAAGTTCGAATTTATCAAATTTGTCAAACTCAAGCTAATCTCATATATTATAATTAGACTTGAGACTCAAGTTTCTCAATACTTGTTGAGCTTAGGCACAATTTTTAAACTTGACTTTAGTACAACTTATTAGCAACCTTAACCTGTTTTTTTTTTTTTTTTAATTATTTTTGATGATTAACTATTTAACGTAAAATCCACTTTCTCTGTTTTCTTGGTGAACGAAAGGTATCATCATGATCATGGCTTCCAGGATGCCGAGAAGATTTCCGTTGATATGCTTTAATGTTGTTTTCTTTTGGAAAACTTAAGCTATTTTGGTGCAGTTGACTTTTTCAAGGAACACAACAAATACATTTTCAGTCAATCAATGACGTTAAATGAAAAATTGAAACCTTATGTTTGTACAATAATCTATAAATTTTGTACCTTCAATAAAAGGTTGGCATTGTACAGTTGTTTCATGTAAGATTTTAAACTTTTTCAATGGATGAAAAAGTTTCCTATTATATGTTTCTTGAAAAATTTTGTTGACTTTAAACATATAAATGCCAAAAATATAATATTATATTACATATTAAGCTTATTCGATTGTCTTTATAAAAGCATAAATACGCTATGAAATTAACAAAAGCTTAAAAAATTGAGAATTTCAATAGGAAAATAAGTTATAGAAAATGAAGCTTTCAAGCATTGCAATGTTATTAGTGCTAGTTTCAACCCTTTTGTTCTCAATTCCATTTGCAACTTCAGACTTGGCTACGGACACATTTGTCCAATGCCTCAAAAAACAAGTTGGTGAGTCTATAAAACCAATCTCGGAAGCCATTTACATCCTGAAAACTCTAAATTCTCGAAATATTTTCTATGCATATTTTAGAAATAAGAGACTAAATACATCCAAAACCCGATATCGGTGGCCATCGTAGTAGCCATGCATGAATTCCATGTCCAAGCAGCTGTCATTTGTACAAGAATCATAACTATCATCTTAGAATCCGAAGTGGAGGTCATGACTATGAAGGCCTTTCTTACGTATCAAATGAACCATTTGTTCTCCTTGACATGTACGATTTTCGATCCATCAACATTGACGTCGCAACAGAAACTGCATGGGTTACAGTCGGGGCTAGTCTCGGTGAACTATATCTCAACATTTCCCAGAAAGTAAGACTCATGCTTTTCCAGGCGTGTCTGCCCTTCTGTTGGAGTTGGTGGGCATTTTCATCGGGGCTGGGTATGGAAAAATTTGATGAGAAAGCATGGCTTATCTGTGGATAACATTATTGATGCACAACTAGTTGATGTTAATGGAAAAATCCTCAATAGGAAAATCCATGGAGAAGATCATTTCTGGGCTATTAGAGGTGGTGGAGCTAGCTTTGGAGTCATTCTTTCTTGGAAAATTAAATTGGTATCAATTCCTGAAGTTGTTACTTTTTTCCTAGTGAAAAAAGCTCATAAAACAAGGTGCAACAACAAGTATAACAGACCTCGTCTATCGGTGGCAACAAGTTGCAGACACACTACCAGAAGACATTTTCATAAGACTTAAATGAGTGTTGAGAAGAATGAGAGCATTTCAATTTCAATTCTTTGGTCAATACCTAGGGCAATCACATACACCTTCTTTCAATAATGAATCAACAATTTCCCGAATTGGGTTTGCAACAAAAGGATTGTTTCAAGTCAAGTTGGATTGAAACCACTCTTTACTGGATAGTAAACCAAGGGAACTTCCTTGGGTAGCCTACTCTATAGGATGCCAAATCAATCATTCCCCTTTAAGGTGAAATCGGACTATGTGATAACACCTATTCCAAAAGCAGTTTTGGAAGAATTGTGGAGGAAGATGATCAAAATGGGTATGGGAAGATAATGCAGTGGAACCCATATGGAGGAAGAATGAATCAGATTTCTGAATTTGAAACTCCATTTCCCCATAGATCAGGATACAAATTTCTAATCCAGTACTGGTACTACACTCAAGATAACAGTAAGTAGAGTTATTGCGAAAACTCTATGATTTCATGGCACCATATGTCTCAAAATCGCGCACGCGAGGCTTTCCTGAACTATAGAGATCTTGACATTGGCACTAATCAAAATGGTGCGAATTCAAGCATTTTTGGGGCTAAATATTTCAAGGGCAATTTTGAAAGATTGGTGCGTGTGAAGACAAAAGTTGACCCTGATAATTTCTTCCGAAATGAACAAGCATTTCGCCTCTTCCAAATAGAGGAACATCGCATACATACTACCTAACGGTGCAAACGAGCGCGGTCAAATGGATTTGGTGTTAAAATAACTTAATTCAAACCCTTCCATTTACTAAACTGTGGGTTGGTTTAATTCGGGTACGAGTTGGACAACCAATTCATTTACTTTAATGAACTCATTTTTTAATAGATTCATTTTTTTTTTCTTCAAAATTCAAGTTCGAAGAGAGAGAGATTTGTGTTTAATTATAATTACAAATATTAAAATTACTAAAATATATAGTGTCAATGTCATAATATATATGTTTTTTGATAGTGCATAATATTTTAATTCCGTTCAATGCTTTTTCTATTGTTGTACTAATTATTTATAAATAAATAAATAAATTGCTAACAACAACCTCGCTGTTAGCTAGAATTGAAAAATGGTGAATAAAATATATTAAATATGTAATAATTAAATTAAAATATATAAAAATATTTGAGATATATAAAATATATTGAGATAATAAATATTGATTTTACGTGATTCTTATTAATAATTCTTAGAGTTGTCAATAATAAGAGTCATAAAAATACATATATATACAATTTGTTGATGCGTAATTAATTGTTGAATGGTTGGTGGTTGCTTGTTTAGGAAAGTCGATTGAGCTTGAAACTTGAGTATCGCATGTTTTGTTAGTATTTTTTTGCATTCATCCATATTATGAGGTGGGTTTAATACTATTACCTAATTATGACTCGTTTAGTAAATAAGGAGTTTAAACTCAAAAATTGTGGGCAGGTATAGATGGATTGACGGTTTGATTAGCATCGCCATCTCTTAAAAGCCACCTAACTACTAAGAGAGTGTTTGAAATTATTTAAATAAGTATAATTTTTAATTTTTTATGAAAAAAATATAAAAAATAGAGAGATGATATAACTCAGAAAAGATAAAAAATAAAAAAATTCTATATAAACAAAACAACTCTGTTTTTTTCTTTGATGGGACTTTTGTCTCTTTTGTCAAAAATATGAACCATTGGATTGAATTCAATCCAAAGGCTTACAGTGTCTCACTCTCTATTTGGTCCAAGATCATTTTCAACCCACAGCCCCTGTCTCTCAGACACACAATCTCATCTCTTTGTTTCTGATTTTCAAATTTTGAAATCTGACCCACCTTCTCTCTCTCTCTCTCTCTCCCCATCATCCCTTGCAGGCAACCAAACCAAAACCCTTATTAGTTCTTCATCTTCTCTCTTCCTCCCTTCTCTCTTCATAATCGTCATCTTCTCTCTTCCGACCGAATGGATCAACTATATATATGACTCAGAGATAGGAGATTCAGAGATTCAGAGATGGGACCGAATGTATGTATATAAATGCATTTGTTGTCATATCTTATTCTCCGAGTTTTGAACCATAACATCGTGCAAGGTATATTTGGTTCAAGTGAAATTCATGTTGGTTTGTTTGGTGTATTATTCTCTTTATTTTTTTTCCCCTATTTTTTATTATTTATTTAATTTGTGATTTGTGAATTAGATCATGCTTGATCCACAAGGGGTGAGTAAGGGTTCTGGTTTTGTGGCCTTCTCAACCTCCGTGGAAGCTACAAGAGCTGTAAGACTGCCTTCTCTTTTTGAACTTCAGATCTCTCTTTCCTATCATTCAACCACAGAGTTTGTCTAATTCATTGTGTTGATTGTTATCCATGTTCTTCAGTTGAATGCGATGAATGGCAAGATGATTGGACATAAACCTTTTATTGTTGCCGTGGCCCAGCGCAAAGATGAAAGGAGGGCAACAATTGCAGGTGATTTTCTTCATTGCATCATTTCTTAGTAATGTAATGTAATTTAATATAGTCTCTCTCTCTCTCTCTCTTTGATATTTATATATTGATTATGGATATATATTTGATTGAACTTCAGAG